ATGTGTAATATAGATTTGTACCGCAAAACTGCTTCGCTATGGAGCACTAACTGTATTCTAAAATAATAATAACATCTCTGAACTATACGACATATGCCATTCTGTTATTTTTATACGTCGTAGCTGTGACGTAATACGTATAGCATAGAGTTGCAATTGTCATTATCGTTATTATCTATACGTGAAAATCCAAATTTATGTTCGTTCAATAGCAAAAAACAATCGGGTTTCAAAGATTTTTTTCGCAACAATTGATTCTTAAATAGAAGTTCTATTAACAGAGATTCGAAATTGACGCCAGCCCCGGTGGAATGCACTTTGTCATACTGATGTCAGATTTCTGCGGATTATCACTTTTTAGGGAAAGAAGTAATTTTTTTGTTATCATTATCAGCGTCATCAAACTTTCTTTTAAATGATGTTAACAATATTTTATTATTATTAAAAGATTCGATTGCTTTTTGATTTCGTCTGCTCTAGAAAGAACATAAGCTTGGATCTCAGTTGGAATATAGCACGGCGAAAATGGAACAAGAACTGTTCCCTGTGCATGTGGATATATCTTTTTTTAAACACATCGAAATCTGACATAGGTTGGTTTCTTTGTTTTGATTTTTGATAAATCGATTTTGCGAGCTTGATAGATTTCTTATTTCACTTGGTCTGGAAGACAATGATTTGATTCCTGATTGATGAGTCGTAGGCAACATAGTTGTCACACTTCCTCGCTTATTTGCAGATTTTGCATAGATCTCTAATACAATATCTGAAAGCCTAACAGTTGGAATTGTCAATGCCTTAATTGATCTCTTTTCAGTCTGTGAGGGAGTTAACATGGGAAATTTACATTTTTTTCGTATACGGTCTGATTGCTTTTGTGCAAATGAATGAAAATCTGAATGTAATTGTTGAATTTCTTCTAATCTCCTCTAATCTCCTCATTTTGGGCATAGTTACTTCTTGACTTTTGGATGGTTGAGCTGAGAAAGATGGACCAAATAACTCACTTAATGAAGACGATGACAAAGTGCTGCTTTCATTGCTAGATATTTCTTTAGATATTGATGTGTTTACTGGTTCATTTGGGGAAGATCGTGAAGTCTCGCAAGATGAATATGGACTGGGTGTCTCATTTAATGAAAGGCTGCTTTTATTATTAGGTGTTAGTGTACTTAACAACTTATTCGAAAAAGATGGCAAAGAGTTGGATATTGATACTTTTTTATTATTATCATTGCTTTATGTTGAATCTGAATCAGTTTCTGATGACAACGTTCTAATTTTGATGGCTTTTTGCTGAGCTATTTCTTCTTTAGTTAACAACTTTATGGGTGAAATTAACACATTAGGTGGAATTGGCATCATTCCTTGTAAATCGTCGTTTGATGAGGAATCAGAGCTTTTGGAGTATATCAAGATTATCAGCTGTAAAAAACTTTTCAGTTGTTCATTTTTCGGACACAGATCAATCATATAAATACAAAAATGCGTGTGTTTCAAATACTTTTTTTGTAATACTATACTATCGCTATATAATACAATTTAAATTTTCGAGTTTTATTGTATTTAAATAATAAATTGAACATCTTTTGTTCAATTTTAAATGGTTGAATTACAATAACGATGTTATTTTTTAAAATTCTCTAAGTTATTGGCTTTGAATCAATGCTGAGACTGCTAGAAGTTTTTTTTGTAAAGCTTTTCGTGATGCAAATTCCTTCAGAGTGTTTGCAAGAAATGATTATACATTCGAAGGATTGAATTGGGAACAAAGATTAAGACATTTAATTAATATATCCTTGGCTAGCCTTATGTGCAAAAAAGTGTTTAATTTCGGTATCTTAAAGTATGATGTATCTTTTACACTTCATGGGTCGATTACACAAATTTGGTACCGGTACGTAGGGTTCCAAACCGGTTTCAAATTTTAGATCCGTGACCCGTCGGATGAAGGTTCATTCTAAAACCGGCTATCCAGATATCCGGTTTTAGATTTCGGTTTGGTTAGACGGATAGAAGATCAACCGGTTATATGCTATCCGGTTTAACCGGATAATAAATACAGTCAACCGCAAAAGTATCCGACTCTCCCTAACTTTCCATAGATACACCAAATTTTTCCGAGCACAAAGAACTGATCATTTACGCCTTTTATAGGCTGATATATCGGGCACCAAACCTCTACACACAAATAATGTTGCTCCCAATATGAATCGTTTTTTTACACACCCCAAAGATTCGAAGCTTGGACACTTGAAGCTACAGCTAAATACATTCATTTAAGGTTATCGTATAGCAAACGAGTACATAATATATAGTAAAATTTCGTTTTTGTTAGGACACAAATGATTGTTTCATAAGTGAAATTTCAAGTTATTCTTCAATTTTTTTTACGTTTCACGCTAATTTTGCGATTCGATTGGTGCATGCTTTTAAATGGTCAGCATCGGGATCGGAATAACTTTTTTTCGCCGTGGCTATATAGGGTACTTTAAGCTAGGGATAGGAATCGATCCTGTGAATCGATTAATTTTGTAGAATCGATTAATATTTGGAAATCGATTAAAATTAAGAATCGATTAAAATTTGGGAATCGATTTTAAAGACAAAATCGATTAATAACGATAACGATAATGTAAAAACATGGCAAATGAACAAAAATGTTAATATTGATAATAACCAAGAAACTGTTGTCAATATAAAGTCTAATAACTCTGATAGTGATACTACGTAATGCCAAAAGTAACTGATATTGATCCAAATTTGAATGATATTTATGAAACAACAGAAAATATATGTAACGAAACAGATAATACTTCAATTGTAGTATATTTACTACGTAGTATCTCTACGAATTCAGTATAATTTCAAGTACAACTTCAGTTATTCCAACGAAAAGGGAAACAATCAAAAACAAAACTAAAGACCACCTATATCATCGCCGTCGTCGTCGTTATTGCTGTCGTCATCATCATCGTTGTTAGTACCCTAGCCATGGCAAAAAAAAAGTCGGATCATGTGTTATTTGTGTATGTCCGGAAAAATTCTACGGTAATATAGGTTATTGTTAAAGATTAATTTAAAGGTTATGATTAGGGTTAGAGCTGGAGTCAAGATTATATGTAAAATTGTCTTTCCAACTCTTTTTTTTAGTGTACCAAGCTGGATTAAGGCATCTATTTCCCGAATTTTTTGCTTTTTTCATTTTCTTGCGCCGGATTTGTTTTGCCGGGTTGATCAAAAATTACGTATTTATGTGATCCGACCTTTTTTATTTTGCCATGGCTAGGGTACTTATCGCTATACGTATTACGTCACAGCTACGACGTATAAAAATGACAGAATGGCATATGTCGTATAGTTCAATACAGTTAGTGCTCCATAGCGAAGCAGTTTTGCGGTACAAATCTATATTACACAC